CAGCACCACGTTTGTATGGGTGCAAGCATGCTTGTGCAAATAGTGGCACCGCACGGCAGTGCCATTCACATGAGCATGTGGGATGCCGCACCTTCCCCAGCTGGTCCGCGGACCGAAAAAAGTTGGGGACTGCTGTTTTAAGACACATTACACATGGTACTGTATAGAAAGGATTGTCAAAGCTATGGAAGAGAACTCCAATAGAGAGAATTGTTCTTTGTGTGTCTCTCTGTGTAAATTGAGTGTTTATGCTTTGTAGTAGGGACCTAAGGGCTATAAACAAAATTTTGAACTACATTGGGGTCCAGTGTCCCTTACCCCTTACAAAGGAGAATGATACTTGTAACTCATTGTATTCAAGCTCTGAGAATACATTTATTTACTACGGCCGGCTCTTGCATCCAGTTCCCTGTGTTTTTCCACCTAGAAATTTTCCAATGCAGCCTCGCTTAGCTTTAGTAATGCCAGTCCCTAAGTGCTGCTTTTAGGACACAGCCCATTCGTGCTCATACAGAGACCTATATTTTGTGTTTTGTTTCTCTTTGGAGAGACCTTGTAGGGTGTTACACTGTGTATGTGTGAAGATTCAGCTTCAAGGAAATTTATTTATAAATTTGATTTATTAATTTTATATCCTCTCCTGCACTCAAAAAGGAGACCCAAATCAGCTGACAGCAAAATTAGAACAGATACAAATAAAAATAAATTTTAAAACAGCTGTGGGTAAAAACATACAAATAGTTGTCACATTAAAACACGGCAATTTAATATACTTTCTGAGGAAACTGGTAGCGATCCACAAAAGTTCACACTAAAATATATCTGTTAATGTTCAAAGTGCCTCACTGTTGTTTTTGTTACACATGCAAAACAGATCAGCGTAGCTATCCCAGTGAATAAAGCAGGAGAAGCCACTTTGTCCATTTCCCAAATATAATACATTTCCACACATTTTAATTGCAGACTGGATCACAAAACACAAGCAGGTGAATATGCAAGTCTAGCTACACTTGAGTCACATACTGGTTCGGGAAATGTGCATCAGGTAAGTCAGCACTGAAAGGTGAACCAAACTCCCACACACCACCTTGATAATTTCCTCTAGCCAAAGGACCACTGCTGTTCAGCAAAACTTTCCTTCCCTTGAGAAAATGAAAATTTGCAACTCAAAAGCAGAGTTTGCCTGTCTGGATTCAATCTCCTTTGCTAAAAATCAGGAGGGGACTTTGCCCTCCCTCCCATGCAAGGGAAGCTGGCTGTTCAAGCTTGCATTTTGGAACTTATCATTGGAAGCCCTCTACCGACCAAGCCTTACTCCTGCAACATGTTTCTCCTTCCTGAAAAAAAAGAACACTTTTCTGTGCTAACTTTGGATACGGCAGCTCTAAACATGGGTATTGCATCCAAAGCACTCTTTATAACAGTAGTTCTCCACCTATGGCCCTCCAGTTATTTGGGACCAACTCCCAGAATCCCAGACCATTGATCAGAATGGCTGGGACTTCAGGGAGTTGATGCTGGAACATCTGGAGTGCTGAAAACCCCTGGACCAAGTTTCCAGCTCTTTCCTGCACTTCTCTCCCTCTTTCCACGAGTGACACGGGTAGATCTTGGTGGATCTTCTTTCCCCCTTTTATTTTCACATTGAATGATCAGCTGGGGCCACTTCTACTTTCCATTTCTCATTAAGTGAGAATTTAATGTTGTTTATGATGCTGTTTTAGGTCTTCTATGGTATGTCTTTTACTTCTACTCTGCCTTCCTTCCAATACAAGACAGAGTATGAATTAAAAACAGGCAACAGCTAAAAATATAAGTTACAATATTAAAACATCACTAAGATATATTAAACATGTAAAATGGTATTTTAAAAGGAGGAGAAAATGCAATAGTTAACATTAAACATCCCTTCCTCCGTAGCCAGCCTGTAGGAACAGAAACATTTTTGTTTGCTGGCAGAAGGATCACATAAAAGGGGGGGGGGGAGCCAACTGCATTTCCCTTGGAACTGAGTTCCAGAGGCACCCAAAAGTCCTCTTTGCGGCTTCATTACTCCAAAGGTAAGTTAAGGAGAGATCTTTGATGGGTGAAGGCTCTGTTTTAAAACTATGACTATTTTAACTGTCATGCTGTAGAAACCGGTTTCAATTCAACTGAGTTTTAATATTACAACTTGTCTAACAGTGTTCCTTTTTTAAAAAAAAATGATTGTGCGACCCATCTTGATCCCAATCCTGGACGAAAAGCAGGATATAAATAAAATGTATATCACTTACTGTATCAGAAACAGTAGCTAAAATCTTTGTTAAGCATTTATGGGGACAAGATACAATTGATGTAAATATTGTTAGCAAACTGCTACAAGTTAGGAAATTAATGTAAGCATTTGCTGTTGGGGCACTAAACCAAAATGGAACAAAAACGGCCAGTTACGGATTAATCAGTTTTCAATGCATTGCAAGTCAATGGAGACTCGACCTACAGACTTTTCGACCTGCAGCCACTGTTCAAATACGGATTAATTCCATAAGTAGAGGGTCCACTGTAGCTAAAATCTTTATTAAGCATTTATGAGGACAAGATACAATTGATGTAAATATTGTTAGCAAACTGCTACAAGTTAGGAAATTAATGTAAGCATTTGCTGTTGGGGCACTGAAATGCACAGCTTGGTGTATAATACGAAATACCTAAATTCATGTCTCTTGCTAATGAGAGTCACACCAACTGTATTATGCTGGTGAGTGTAACTAACAGGATTTGAACTAATATTGCTTTCTTGAAGCACAGGGCAGAGGAAACAGATAGTGGGGGCTTGAGAAGAACTGGCCTCACCCACTGGTGGCCCCCTCCCACTAGCAGCTTGTGGCCCCCAATAAACGATCCAGGAGGAAATATGGCCAGGAACAGGAAAACTATTCCTCGCCTCTGTTCAAAGGGACAGTGGAATGTATACACAATCAAGTCATGTAACTTTTCCCAGGAGAAACAGTGAGGAAACAGAATATATTACCAAAATACCTTCTCAAAGATTTATTTTTATTTACACTTGTTTCTATCTTATCAATACAAACTTTAAACATGACAGCAATACTATGTACACGAGAAAAATAGGTAAATATAAGACTCAGTCCAGCCGATCCAAGCTAATGCCTGGTTGCACATGCAATTAGAACAGGCTGCTAGCTTGCATGAAGTCTTGAATAAGCTTTCAGATGTTAAACACATGGCATGCAAGCTGCACAAAATCTGCGATGGGAATTAGAGGTAGCAACATGGCATGTTTTAACAGATGTGTCAAGATCTCTTCAGGCACACCAGAAATAACAGAAGTTGCTCCACTGTTGACTTCCATGTTCAGAACTATCACTTTCTGGCTTCCACTCTGTTGCAATACTTATTATTTGAACTGATTATCAATTAGGGTGCCTTTCATTTTGGCCTTCTTTGCTTCCAGTTCAGCCTAATAAAAACAAAACCCAACATAAATTAAACTAAAATCCTATTTTCTGATAATATCCCTTGATCACGTTGGGTTGAGTACATGGGCACTACAGGAATACAGTAGCTTTAAGATTTAGAAATGTCTCTGCATCAAACAGTTATAGCAGTCTGAGGCCAGTTTAACTGCTATGGTTCCCTTCTATTAATCCTAGCTTCCGTCGTTTGGTGAAGCAGTTGGAAGTTTCTGAGAACTCTAACGCAGAGCGCTCTAAAGCAGTGGTTCCAGACAGTTCCTCTACAGCTTTTGAAGAGGAGAATTTTAAGCTCTGCAAGAGACTACAAACCCAATTCTACGCATGGAACCATAACAGTTAAAGGAGAGACCAAATCGGGCTAACTGTGCAGTACAAATGCACTTGGACTGGAAGCATATGGTCCCTGCAAGGCCATTTCTGGAGACCGAATAACATATTGAAACTCCGCCTCTAAAGATGAGGGAAGAAGGGTGTGCTCCTGGAGGGAGGTCCCCAACTTTAGACCCATCCTCTGGGCCTCAAGAGAAATTTCTGGAGTCCTTCCTTCTCTGGTGTGGATGGACACCTTCCAACGTGGACCCTTTCGGGTGCATCTGACGAAGTGGGTTACAATCCACAAGAGCTTATGCCAAATAAAGCTG